TTAATTTATTTTTGTAAATATTAAAAATGGGAAGGGAAAATGAATTTTGAATAAATTTGAAAGCAAATCTTCTCTGGGTTTGTTGTATCTATTGGCATGTACGACATTGTATTCTTGTTACTCATAGATACTGAACATGTGGAATTCTAATTTCGTGTGTTACACAATTTCCAGGGGCCATCACTTTTAACCTAAATGAAGACCAAATACTGAAGAGACGCGCAAATTAAGATACGCACATACAACTATGTGTATAGTATTCCCATTTTCAATGTCACGAAAATTGGGGGCCAGAACTTATGCGGACAAGAACTCATTAGCGAAATGGGTCTGTATGTGTAGTGTTTGGGGGTGTGGCGTCGCCCGCAATTTCCCGACACTTTGCACAGCTACGAAGATCGACAAAAATATAGATACATACATATGTTCGAAAGACACATTTTGAAGACAACAGAATAATACGCAGCACAAATTGTGGCAAACACTGATAAAGTGTATAAAGATATAGCCAAAAAATTATAGCACCTATTTAAAAGTGTGTTAGAGAGAGAGGGTGTGTGTGTGTGTGTTTGTGTGCGTGAAAGAGAGAGAGGGACGTTTACAAACAAACCAGAAAGCAAATGCCAAAGAATGCGAAACGAAAAAGCTCACGGATCTGAAAAAATAATGAAAGCAAAATATACGAAAAATGAAAGCAATAAACAAAATGGTATAGTAAAAAAATTAGAATACAAATAAAAACAAAATAAAAAGCAAAGCACAGCCCAAGAAGTCAAACAAAAATACCAGCCACATTGTTACGTAATTTATTTCTTTCTCTCTTTATATTATTAAATTTTATTTAATAGTTGGCATTGTTGGCGACTAAGGTTTGCTGGCATTTTTGGCCCAACGTTCTTTCGATTTTTATTTAAATTTTTGGAAAAAGTTTTTTTAAAACATTCAGGAAAAGATGTGTCTGCATAATGCCAGAGATGCTGTGTCTCAAAATGGAGCGCAAGTGAGATAGAGTGTGCAACAAGTGTCACAGATTTTTAACCGGATCAGCACAGCTTATCAGCGCTTATTTGGGGTAAAAACATACACACATGGGATCATATATGTATGTACATGAAGAGCAAAGTTGTCAGCGCCCACTAATCAAGCGTTCAGATACGTTCAGATTCTGGGCAGCGACGACAAAATACAGCAGGCAGCAAGTGATTATGTATAGCCTGGTGGAGGTAATGGTGGTAGTGGTAGTAGGCTCAGCACATGGCTAAAAAGGCTGTCGCATACGTGGAAGTAAAAGAGCACGAACACCACACAAATGCCAATGTATTATGGAAAAGCACTAGCCTTATAAACCCGTCAAACAGGATTATTAAGCAAACTAAGTCAACGCCGACGTCGCATTTCTGTTTGGCTGTCTGCCTGACTGGCTTGATTTTTTCTTCTTTTTATTTTTTATTTTTTTCTGATGCCGCACACAGTCTTGAAAAGACCAGCCATGTGTGAGTGCCGCAAAACTGACAGCTGGTCAGTCACAAACTACTCGTACACACACAAATGAACAGCAACTGGTCTGACCAACCGACCGAACGACCGCACTAACTACTTAAAAAGCCGACTGTGCAACACCTCGAAGCCCGACCCCAAGTTATTCTATAGTGGCGTGCCTTACTCACTTGTCGATATCAGCCTCGCTATCGTTGTCTGAGTCTGTTTCTCATACTGCATACATATATACATGCTTATACATAAATATGTATTATGTTCAACATGCCGAGAGTCGTGCAGCACTCTCAGCAATTCGCAGTGACCTCTGTTCATACATACATTCACATTATCAATAGTTCTGTGCGTAAGTTTGCGAACCCTGCTTTATGATATTGACCTGCATTCGATCGCCTTCCATTTTAAACTACACAGCAATGTTTTAAGAATCCGCAAATTGAAATTGCTACGTGAAACGATTGTGAGCATTCAAAGCAACTTTTTAATTTTATACTCCTTCTATATTTATACTCCGTCTAACTCCCGAGTTATCGATACTGTCCATCAATTAAGTATAAGTAAAGCTCTTTCATATTACTGGCCAACTGTTGCTACTTTTCAGTATGCCCAATGGGGCTTATCACCACAAAGATAAAAGCGCCAACAAAAAGCAACAGCAAAATGAATGGAAAGTACTCTGCACACATGTGCTCAAACATCAACTGTTGCCATGCCCAGTTCTAGGCCTATTCCCACTGAACTGTTCAGTTCTGAATAGTGCGCTATCAGAGCGTGTGTGTAGCCTGTTGTCTGCAAGCTTATCTCGCTCCGCATAGAGTTTTCAGCTCTAAACTGAAACCTTGCACAACAAATTCTTGATCGACACTTTCAACTCGAACATTTCTCTTCTTCTGTATGTGCGTATTGGAACTTTTATTGGTGTTCTGGTAGGCCACAAATTCATTGCAATTTGTTGCATTGCCAGGCATTGCGCTATCTTTGTATCTGCCAGCTTACAGTCGCTTATTACTGCGGGCTCTCCCGACCTCCCGCTCTCCCTCTCTCGCGATCACACCACAGTTCAGTTGTCCGTTGTAGTGCACTTGGACTTGGGCTGAATGTGTGCACTTTGCATGAATTAGCCATTAGTTTTCATTAGTTGTAAGTAAGTAAATCATTACGACGCTGCACGCGCCTAGGCGATTGCCCTTTTTGCCTCTCCCACTCTATTTGGCTCTCCGGGTATCACGCGCTCTTTTGCAACATTGTTGGAGACGACGCCTAGCCTAGCCCAGCCTAGCAAGTGCATAAGAAAATAGAATACAACCGAAATGAAACGAAACGAGGCGCAAGGCGAAGCGATCGTCGTTGCATTCTGGTTTTTCTACGTTGTTAATTTTTTATAATTTATTAAGTCAATTATCACGGAAATAAAATTCAAATGAAAGCTTATTGAGAACTAGGCATGCTTACTCGCTCGCACACACATGCACACACACTGCACTTGGCGTTTAGCTTAATATTTACACGTGCTTAGAAGGTCAAAGAGAGGAACACGCGCTGTGCATAGTTCAGCAGCAGCAGCGACTGCGGCAGAGACAGCGCGCAGAAAAAAAATGCAAATGAATGCAAGAAGAGCGCATGTTTGTAGAATTCATTATAATTAAATAGCAGCAGCGGCAGAAGTAAGAACAAAAGCAGAGGCAGAGAAAGCGAACGATCGCCTTCAAATTTCTAAACACTTAGAAGGCAGCTTTGCCTGCCAAAACAAAGAAATGCTTTTGCAATTATATTTCTTATTCAATATTAATTAAGATTGGAATCCATTGAATTACTTCTCAACAACCAAATATACATACGTATATATGCATATAGTATTTATTATCGGGACAGTTTCAGCTTCTTAAAAGCACTCATAAATGTACTCAACAATTTGAAATTTGCAGAAACTAGAACAGGTGAATTTAATTTCGATTCGAAGTATCTTTATAATCTTTAGGTAACCTGATTGATCGAAGTGAAAAATAAATAAATATTTTTTAAGCATGTAGCTCTTTTAAAACAATTAAAAAATGAAGAAAAATTGCTTTGTGAAAATATTTTTAGAGTGGAATCGCAAATATGTAACATGAATCAGTTTCGCGTTTACGTGATACTTAACGAATAATAACATATTCAAGTTTAACTACAAAAAATATTTCTTTTTTCCAACCACATTTATTTGTGATTGCCCACCTACTTTAAGTTGAAGAACCCATGAAAGGAAAACATATGAAGTTATTCGATTTTTCTAACTTTATTTTAAGGAGACTCATCAAGTAAAGCTATAAATATGTATATGTATATGATAAATAAAACATGTAATTTAATTCCACATAAAACATTTGGTTCTACTCTTTTGTACAATCAAGCCGATACGATTTACTAAAACTGTTGCAATATCACTTTTATAATTTTATAGGAATATTATTCTTCTTCAATTTGGAATGAATACTTTGAATATTATACTTTGAATATTATATATATATATATATATATATATATATATATATATATATGAAATCCTTATCAACGGTCGCTCACAAATCGACCCATTTATTAAAATCCGTCTAATCACATTTCAATGTCAATATTGATGTCAAAACTAGAAATGTCATGTGTGAAGAACCAAACAAAACAGACAGTCCTTCAGAGCCGAATGAAAACTACAGAAACAAATCCGAAAAAAAATCGACGACAGCGCCGACATCGACGAAGTCGGGTCGCTATCAACGTCTGTCTATTTATAGGCGCATTATCAGCGGTGTTCTAATTAAGATCTCTGCACTGAACTCTCAAATAATTTGTGTTGTGTTCTATGGCACGGCGCAGCAATCAAACTTTAACACACACACGGGAGTACATACACACAGTGTGTGATAAGCTGTCTATAGTCAAGACACAAACCCACATAAAGTAAAAGTAAAGCCAAGCTGCAGCAAAAAATTTTCAGTTTTAACGAATTTCATTGGACATAAGTACAAGTATAATGGTATTATCCATTAAATAAGTGTACGAATACATAATTTAATGACAACTCGATTTAAATGGAAAAAACAAGAAAGCTTTGCTAAGGTATCTCGACCAAGTGGAATTTTCATGTTATCAAATTATATATGCCAACACTCAATTATAAGTGGTGGACGGCTGTATTGAGTCTTAGAACAGAGGAGCGGACTCTGATATCTAATGCTTCCACTTTCAAGGAGCTTCAAGATCGACAATCTTTTGCTTTCACTAAATGAGTAATTCTTGTATGGTTCTTTCCTTTTTAAATGCTAAAACTTTAGGTATGATTTAACTAACATCTTTTAGGTAAATAGGTTTTAGATAATGCCCAATATGAGTATCTCTAAGGCACTTGGTAAATGAAATTCCGAAAGGTAGTTGGCTTATATCGAATGGCAAAATGTACGAAAACGTTTTGTAGGCGTTAATTGATCACAAATTATAGATGAGGATGAGTAATAGGTTTTGTTATTTACCCGCTTAAGTTGAGTTGAAATTGGAAATTCTAAGTTGCTGAGTTGCTCCGACTTGGCTCTTTTTGTGATTGTTGTTGTTGTTAAATGGCACGCACTTGTTTCACTTTTGGTAGGCTAACGAATTTTGTTGTTGTTGTTATTGTTTTGAGCAAAACTTATGCATATGTACATATATGTATGTGTTTGTATTAGCTATTTAAATGGCTGGCATAATTTTTTGCTCACACACAGACAAAATTTGTTGTAATTTAATTTTTAGGCGGTTTCTGACTTGTTTGATTTGTTGTTGGATGTTTTATTTTTTACTTTTTGTTGCTCAAGCTATAATTTATAGAAAAAGCAAAATGGAATAAGAATCAAATAAACACAACACAGAGCACCAGAATAATAAAAACAAAAAATCTAAATAAAACAAGAACAAAACATTTAGACGAATCGCAGCGAAAACGATCGGATCCCACGTCACGTCATCAATCCATGCCAATTGGACGGCGGCATCGGGTACAACACACAAATTAATTGGAATTCGTATGAGAATTCAATGAAAGCGCCCGGCGCAGTCAACGGCGACGCGGGCAGAGACCCACACAAGCACACACACTCACACATACATACTCAATTAAAATTTGTTTAAAGTTCAAATCAAAAAATTAATACAAGCACGTTTTTTCTACTTCTGCTTTGATTTTTCTCTTCACTCCAATTTGAATTTGGACAGCACAGACTTATTTGCATGCCTATATGTATACATACATATGTATATGTGTGTTTGTGTTATGCTACCAGCAGCAAATTTCCAAAAATACTACAACAACAACGCAGGCGGCAACTGCGACGGCGCAGCAGCAGCGACAAGATCAGCGACGCGACGCCGCTGTCGGCATAGAGTTGTTGCTGTTTTTTTTATTATTCTTTTATATGCCTACTACACACAACTACGTGCGACGAACTGAACGCGTTCTTTTTGCGCTTTACTTTAGCTCAACGTTTTATGTTTGCATGAATGTATAGGCATGTACATATGTAAAAATGTACATACATATACGTATATTCATTAAGGTATGTATGTATGCATATCAATGTACATAGTATGTATGGAAGTAAGCTTGTATGTAGTTAGCAGTGTGTACTTTGTTTTGGGCATTCCACTCTTTCACATGTTTTGATTTTGCCTTCCTCTTTCACTTTGCACAACACAATCAATTTTATGTATTTTCCTTTTCAGCGATATTCGAAGTGATATTCAATACGTTTCTGTGTGTTTGTGGGTGTGTTGGGGATGGGGGGCAGAGGCTTAATTCTTATATTTTGTAACCTCGTGGCTTTTAACCGCAAACACACAGGCACGGACTACTCGTTTAACTGCTTTCTAGTTGGATGCGAACTGACAACTGATTCGTCGTTTTCATCGGCGCTGCGCGTTGAGTGGCGCAAAAGCTGCTGCTGCCTATCTGAGGCGTTCGTATATATGTATGTACATACATATGTATGTGAATATGTGTTTGTATTACGTATTTCGTATACGAAGCGAATCGAAACGAAGCTAAAGCGGCAAAGCAACACGACGAGAACGACAACGACAGCAGACGACGACCACAAACTGCCAGCCAGCCCCAATTTGCACGAAGCTAACGAAACGACGAAACTACAAAAAGTGCGACCCATGTGCTAAGCTATGTATGTATGTATGTAAATATATACGAAAAAGAGCTAGCAAGCAGGAGAGTAAAGCTTGTGCGCTCACTGTTGGCGCTCGCAGTGCGTTTGTGCCTTTGGAATCCACAATACGTACTTGACTTACTTATGTTCCACAGCAACGCGTGTTCACTTTTTTGGCGCTCACTTGATTGTTGTTGCTTTTTTGCCGCTTTTTGTATTTTTGTAGCTCACACGCACACAAACGCACGAACTTACTCAAATAACAATAAATGAAAAAAATTAAGTTTACCTATTTTATACATGCGGAATTTTAATTTTTCATTCGTTTGCTATTTCATTTAATTGTCTATAACCATCTCGCCCCTTTCGAAGCGGCGGCCTTTCTCAATCTAAATAAGACTCATTTTGTACACTCAAAAAGTTTGCATCTGCATGATAAGAAGGTTGAGCGCTTATCTATGACTCGCTCTCTGACGGCCCCGTTCTCGATCTGGGTCTCGTGATGGAAATTATTTTTCCCCCAAATTGCATTTCAGTCATGACAACGTTGCACATTTTATTATGTTGTATGTATGTATATACATACATATGTACATACTTCAAGAATCATGAATGTATGTATACATACATAAGTTGCATTTTATTACTTTTCAAATTGCATTTGTATATTATTACAAGCGGCCACATAGAAACGTGCATTCGACAAGTTTTCAAATAAGTACATACATACATACATATGTATATGGACTTTTATATTTTGTCACACAAATTCCACAAATATCGCTAATTACGTCTAGACGCTGAGACTAGCAGTTTATGGTGTAGGCTGGAACCTGCCAAGAGCTTACAGTAACAACAGGAAACATTTACAATGTCCATAAAAATGTTAGAAAATATATACAGATGCATGTATGTAGTACATACATACATACATACATACATAAGTAGAATATGTATATTTGTTGGGAACTGGGTCATGAGTCTTACGATTTCAGCAATATAGCAAAAAATAATATTATATTATTCATGTTAGTTATTAATATTCGATTAAATTAATACCTAACTACTAAGTTGGGGAAAAGGAAATTCATTTTGTTCACCCAATTTCAACTTATACATATTTAATAAGGATTGCGTTGTTCAATATATTATGTTTGATTTGTCTTTTTCAGCATAGATTCAAATGTCCTCATAAGATCTCTGGTTCTTGCTGCTGAAAATCCAATTTTCGTAGTTATAATTACTTGATGTCAGATCCGGGTGGATGCATTAAAACCACCCTACGAAGCTGCCTGACTTTCCTGGAAGTCATTAGCGCTGTTTGTGACTTTTTCTATTGACCAATTCTGGGCGCTTCTGGCAATCACTTCAAGTAATTATTGGCAGTGGAGGTCCAAATTCAGTGATGGACGTTATGGAAGCAGTTCATGATTCCCATCCATTCTCCCTTTCTTTCTTTAAATAGTTTTTATTTTATTTTTATTTTATTATATTGCAAATTGTTAACCAGTTGAGCTGTAAATTCAAATAAATGATTGCCACAACATTCCCAGACAATGTCCGATTTTTAATGTACAAGTACATATATATTTGTGGGACTGTTTACAAGTTTTTCACATATAAAAAAACTTCTTTTTATTTTCCTATCGGGTATTTATGAGTCGGGCTGGCACGACCTTAACATTGTACTCGTATCCAATTAAACTGTACGATTGTCTCCACCCTCGCCCCATCCTCCCCCAAAACTACCAAAGAAAAAAATATGAAAATGCCGCAACTTGCGTTGGCGCGTGGCGAATTGGAAATTTTCGTCGTCATATCGGCATCGCCGGAATCGTTTCAGCCAAATGTGACGACTGGACCCGCAACATAAACTCAAATTTCAACTGCGCGTCAACTCGCTGACGACGCACTGCTCGCTCGGTCAGGCCATATGAGTAAGAGCGACGATAGCGACGACGACGTCGAATGTTGGCGGCATGTGACGTCGTCGAGCAGAAAGCCAGCCCCAAACGATCATTGGCATCAGATGTCCACTGGACTAGTGGGCGCATGTGCCACAGCTGCGCATGCGTCGTGCCTCCACCCCTACTATATATGTATGTAGTATGTTTGGTCTGCGACGCAGTAGAAACAAATTATAGCGACGTCTGGGCAATTGGAATTAGATGAAGTAATGATATCAGTTCATGTCGCTGGCCTTCAAAAAATTATAATTTCTGTTTTATTGCTCGACCGTGTTGTGTTGGTATGTTCCGTCCCGATCCGATCCACTCCGCTCCACTTCTCCCCACTCTGTTCGCTCGCTCGCTGGCTGGCTGGCCTGATGTTTGTTTACCAGTGTGTGTTTGTGTGTGTGTGTGGTGTGTGTGTGGAATGTTTGCTCGCCAGTTCTGTATATGTACATATGTATGTGTTTCTCATATTGAATTTGAATATTACTAGTCTGATGATTTTTAGAGCGAACTTGTTTAAGCCTAAAACCGGGCGGGCATTAAAAGAGCAAAGCTCCATTCCACGTTGTGGAATATTCTACTCTAGCACTTCATTACCCCATAAATGAGGGCATTCTTTATTTTTAATGCGACTTTGTAACGCAACTTAACTGATGAATATAGTTAAATCAAGTAGCTTATTATTATTATAACATATAGTTCTACGTACATACATATGTCTGCCTGGCAAACTCAATAATATCTGATCAATGCAGGGCCTTTTCAAAAGACAAATGAAATATACAAATAAATATATAAAATGTAAAACTAAATCCCTAAACATTTTGGTAACAAGCGTTGTTAATTGAAGTTTTATAAGAGTTTTATATTTCTGAAATTATTTCACCAGCTTGTTAGTTCGTATTCGAACACAGCCAACTGAACCAACTCTCTTAAGAACTATCTCCTTATCTTACATTTATCGTTATCTATATATATCTCGTATGTATAGTATACATATGTGTACATACCTCACTCATGTTTTTGAAGAGTATTTTTTAGCCTTAACGAACTCAAAACATAAATTTAACTCGCATGTTGCTTAGATTTTAGAAGTGGGCGACAAACGATAAAAATATGTACATACATACACACATGATATTATGTATTTAAGACTAAAGTTTTCAACGTAATACGTAAGGCTCAAAACTAAATTTTCACACAGCAAGCTAAACTCAAATTAATTTGAATAAAAATTAACTTTAAATTAATCGCCCAAAAGAGCGGTATGGTATATGGGCCGGCGTGTCCTTCAGGATGGTGGTAGAAGGCTTTTTAATGGTTTGGACGTCCTTATAGCGCATTGCTATTGTGTTAAAATGAGATTTGATTCTTAATTGTGATGCTGAATTCTGAGCAATTGTTAGTCAACAATAGCAGTTTTTTAAATATAATTATGTACATACTTTTATGTGAAGAATATTCGGATCCTTCAGATAGAGTCTAAAAGAATCACTAGCTTATAACGACTCAGAGAATTGCATGACTGTTCTATACGTGTACTACGTATGTATGCCAAATGTATCTCCAGCGCTACAAAAACTAGGACGACCAGAAATATGATGGATTTTCACCGTTGAAGACGACCTTGAAGCGAACATACATAAGAAGTTATGTGGAAGTTGTGATGGGTGTAAAAATCTGGTGAAGGATGTTTTGTTTATTATAAAAAGAAAAAGACTGCATAGGTGATGGACGGCGAACTGTAGCTAAAACGTAAATTTGCTTTTTTTTATCTATCGCTGTTCAAACAAGATCTCAACAACGGTTGGAAAACACGTTAGAGAAACGTCAATTTCTAGAGACTTAAGCGAGCCCCCCCATGAAAGCATTTAACTAATCTCAGGCGTACATTCATACATACATATGTATGTATATACACACATAGCCTAACGTACACACACTCACATAAATATGTACATGCATTTGTATGTATTTACGTTTAAGACTAACACACACACAGACAGACAACGCTATGAAGGCTTTCAAGCTTTACGCCCAGTAGCGTGTGCCATTAAAATGCAAAATATCTCGTAAGCGTTATCTCTAATTTATTGAGATTAAAGCGGGCTGATTAATTTAACAACGTAATTGATGCAGCGAGAGCGCGCGAGACGAATTGACGCAACGGCAGTGGCGAGAGTGAGTGAGAGAGGAGAGACAACGAGTAGATCGATGAAGTAGTCTCAGCCCGACTCCGACTCTTGTATTCCCTCCCTCCTGTTGTACTATAAATAGAAAATTTGATTAGAATTGTGGTTTTTCTACAGATCTCTTATATGGCATTTATGTAAAACACGACACTATATATGATTTTTAGTAAACTTTGGATCAGACAAGTCTATTTAATAAGTTTGGTACACATCTACTTACATACATACATATGTATGTATAATTTTGCCCGTCACATATTTGTGTATGTACATATGGGTGAACATTTTGTTTTTACACTCTCCAGTATACCCTTTAACACATTAGGTGCACAGTATAAAGACGAAAGCCGCTAGCGCCGATGAAAGCGCATGCCCCAAAATGCGGTTTAGGAGATCGAGTGTTAAAACTGTGGCGGAAGCTTGGATTGGAATTCTTGAGGCGGGGCAAGTCGAGTACAAGTT